CCCCGTTCTGTCGCTTTCAGAAACTGCATGTCTTCAAGAAAACCCTCCAGGCCTTGATCTACCCAATTTCCTCAACTACACCCCACAATTTTGAGGTATGGACGGCGACCGCTCCCACCTACTGCCACGAGTGCGAAGGCCTGCTGTGGGGGATCGCCCGCCAGGGCATGCGCTGCTCGGAGTGCGGCGTCAAATGCCACGAGAAGTGCCAGGACCTGCTCAATGCGGATTGTTTACAAAGTAAGGGAGCACTGCAATTCACACTGCAACAACTCCAAAGTCTCCGGCAAAGCTTGTTTGGTTTCGTGCAAACTAATTTCAAAGGTGTTCTAATTAAGAAGCCAGTCTTACACTTTTATTGGCAAGCTCATAATCACATGGGAGTATTTTCTCCTTTAATTTAGAGATTTTGATTCTGTACAGTTTACAGACTTGGATAATGATGGAAAAAATAATTAATCATCAATAAATTCCTCATACTCTGAAATCTCATGATGACACTTGAGTGACTCACCGAGATGCATTTATCAGCTTTGTGGCTAATTTCTGTTCTATAAAGCCATTAATTGATTATGAAAGAGGTGGAGGCAATGTCACACTGTGCGAGAGAGGGAAGTGACTGTAAAGCACTGCATGGAAGGCACCTATTACTCTACACTGCTGCTTCCTATCGATCTGTCACAAAGTATAAATCAGATTTTTACTTTTGTGTTGTATGTCTGTTTTATATTTACCACCAATGACAAAAAAAAAAACTTTTCTGAAAAATTCACTAACTGCATCATTCTTGTTAAGTAGAATAAGATAAGTAGTATTTGAAAAGAGCAGAAGAAATCTTATGTTTTCAGAACAATATTTGTTGTTAATCTGTTGCTAGGAGATGAGCGTGTTTTTTTGGTAACCAAATGCCACGAAGTAAACATTTTACTTTTGCAAAAGTAAAAATCAGATGCAGTGCATTAACACGACATCAGCTTTCTGCTCTGTAGTACATTAAACATCTTAATCAGGAGTTTGTTCACCCAACCAACTCCCTACATGTACTGGGTGGCACAAGTTGCTACAATCGATAGTAGCCACACAGGCTCACCCGCTAGAAGGAAACAAACACACCCAGTACAACGCTTTCATTCTATTGGGTGAGAGGTTGCCAGGCGACTGTGCCAATAGGCGTTTCCAAAAGCCAGCAGAGAGTCTGAGCAGAGACTGTGAGCGCGAGGAGAAGTTTTGAGTACAAGCGTCACAAGTTTTGAGAAGAAAGACATGAAGTCCTGCTTTCAAAATAAAAATGCAAGCAAAAGTATTAAAAGTTTTGAGACCAAAATCATGAAATCCTGCTTTAAGACTGAAAATGTGTGCTCTTGGATTATAGCAAAAAAAATAAATCCCACCTATACATGGTGTGTCACCGTGTGAGCCACTCTGCTCATTACAGCATCCAATCAGCTCTGGTTGTGAGGCACTCCCTTGTTGTTACCGGGTAGAACGCTACCCGGTAAGAACAATGTGACTCTTCGGGATGGTCCCCTCAGCAACGCTCGCATGCTCTAAGTGGATTATCTACGCCCTGGCTGTTCTAAAACTCTGTGTTTCAGAACACTTTCATACACGTACAGAAATGCCATTTGTAGTTTGAACTGTGAGTTATCTTCAATCTGTGCTCATTACCACACAGCAGATAGATAACACTCTTATCAGATATTAGTAAGAGGCCATTGTTACATGTGCCTCCTTTGTCACACAGACAGATCCAAAAAAAACAAAAAACATTTTAGATCTGATAAACACGCCAGAACTAACGCGCACTTTGTGCACAGATCAGATTGCTGAGAAAGTAAAAAAAAAAGGAAAAACTAACTAACACTATGCATTGGATCTTGTACTCAACCAAATCTTCTGGACCAATTTTTAGGGGCTGTGGAGAAAAGTTCCAAGCATGGGGCAGAAGACAAGACTCAAAATATCATCATGGCTATGAAGGAGCGTATGAAGATCAGGGAGAAGAACCGCCCGGAGGTGTTTGAGGTGATCCAGGAGATGTTCCACGTCTCCAAAGAAGAATTTACTTCCCATCTGAAGACAGCCAAGCAGGCTGTGCTGGACGGGACCTCCAAGTGGTCTGCCAAAATCACCATAACAGGTGGGGCCTGCTTTCTTAGGACAATGCACAAATATCTGCCAGTGTTTGGTAACTCAGTAATACATGCAGTCAACAGAAAAGTGAGATGTATTTGTACCGATAGACTACCAACAGTGATCTGAAATGGAAAATGTTTTTATACTGATTGACTTTAATTTCTAATGAGTCTCTGTCCACTTGGTCATTAACCTCCAACACAATATCACCAAGTTCTATGCACATTTAATTAGAGTTTGACTTAGTTGTTTTGTAGAAGGGGTTAAAAAAGTTTAAAAAATTTAAAAAATCATTGAGATCGATGAAGGTTATTGGTCTGCTCAAGGTTTATTGGTCCTCTCTGTCATTTTGTGAAACCTGTGGAAGCACAGGATGCACTTATTTATTTTTCATATATCTATAGCTGTGATTTAAAGAAAAAAAAGACACAAAGTAAGCAGTGGGAAGGTTTATCAAGTTGTCCTTGTGTTTGCCAAATCTTAAGTGGTTGTATGTTAATTATAGAACAGGCTGCCATAAAAATAGCTATTTTAATCAATGAGAGTCTGCTTGTGTCAACACAAATTAATTACGTTTTCATTCATGCTTTATGTAGAGTCCGGTTTTATTTTTGTATATTTATTCAGCTTCTGCATAAAAAAAAAATACCACCTACTGAAATGTGAAGGTGGCAAATTAACACAGATAGAAACTAAAAACCAATTTTATCAATTAATAAGTGAGAAAAGCAGATTATAGTAAAAGTTTCTGTTTTACCTGACAAACATTAAGAGTTAACAGTGCTTATGTTTGCATAGACTACAAGTAGCAATTTTACAATCAGATTGTTTATTTATGAGTTCATTTTATCTGTTGCTGATGGTTGTCTTTAAATGATTGATTCTTGATAAACCTGTAATACAAGTTTTGCTTCCATGCTTTACTTTTTTTAAACAGGCAGCCTCGGTACTTAAATGCTTTCAGAAATAATTTTATTAAAATAAGCAAACAAACAAACAAAAAAAAAACAACAGCTTTTTCCATCCAAAGAGGTTCAATAGGTGCTTCTAGGTTTAATTTAGTGATTCAGTGAGACGTTCATGTTTGGATCTCATAGTCAAGGATCGCTGGTGGTCATTTAAATGAGCGACTTTGAACACATGCACTTCCTCATTTGCCGCCTGCTGTGGGACGGATGAAATCCCAACACAATTCAGATGAAGTAGCCACTGACAAGTAGTTCAGCATTTAGTTTGAAGCGTCCTAACACCTTTCTGCACTGGACTCGCTGTTCCTTCAGGAGGCGTTTGATTTTGAGATTTCCCGAAGCAATCAGACCACAGACCCCCATCCCACTAGACCCCCCCCCCTCCACACCCCCAACTCCTGTCAGCTTTTGGGCTGAATGATATATATATGTACCTTGAATAATTTAGTCGGTGACTTATGCATATTTAATGCTGCAGTGTCCTTTTTCCCTTTTTATGGTGCTTGTGAAATACTACAGTCTTTCTGTCTCTGCACCTACTAGTCTGAATCACTGCCCTTTATTTGGAGCCAGGAACCAACTCAGCAGTAAGCGCACTGTAGCAGAGGGAACTCACACACTGGCCAGAATCTGCTTTCAGCTTAGATTTAAGAAAAGGGTTACAAATAACATTATGAATGAAAGTGCAGTTATTGAATCAAGGGCTAAAGTGTATTTATTTTGCATGAGGTATAGCACTGGTGTTCTTTTTACTCCGTGTTTTCTTTATGTTTCTGCTTTATGTCTGTGTTTCCCTGACTTGAAATGTTCACTATAAAAATTATTCATCCTTTTTGGGTAGTCCTTTTTATTGATTTTAAAAATAAGTCATGATCATCATAATTTAGCTTTTCTGACAAAAAATATTGCAAAAATCAAACTAGATGACCAAAGTTAAAACAGATTTCTTCAAAATATTGATGGTTTAATAAAAAAAAATATGTAGCATCAATTAAGCGATGCTCGCTCTTCAGTCTGAGATTTGGCCACTAGAACATCCACCTTGATGCCAAAGTTTTGAAATCAGGGAACTTTCCCCACAATTGAAGTGAATAGTTTTCAAATGCGTCGTGTTTGCTTGCGTCAGAGAGATTTACGATAACAGTCTTGTTATCAGAGATATCCACTATTGTATTCCAAAATAAAAGTAAATAAAATAAATGTGCTAGTATCACTGGAAATCAGTCTGAGTGTTACATAAGCAACCCAAATGTGCAACTCTTCCCCTTCTGCTTTCTGGTAGACTGATTATTGTATGTGGGTCACAAAGACGTGAATTGTAGGTCAGTAAGACACAGCTGGCACGCTAAAAATCCGGCTTGATTTAAGCAACGCATTTCATGTGCAAGCGCATCTCGGCAAATTTGTTCATTCGCTAGATTGATTCAGTAAATCAAGTCAAATTCATATGGATTCATTTCACACAGAGTGATATATTTCAGTAGTTTATTCTGAATTTCGATAGCAAGGCTTGCAGGTGTTGAAAACCGAAAAAGTTTAGCTTCTCAAGGAATGTGATTGCATAAGACCGACAGAAAAATACAGTTTGTTCTTTGTGTTTAAGTCGGTTCCATGGCCAATCAAATTCATTGAAGCAGGTGTTGGTACTGTAGTAATGAGGTACCAAATCCTGCTGGAACATCAAATCCATACTTCCATCTCTGACTCCCTGTGCTTTGTGAATCTAACCCAAACTCTTGTGTAGGTGTTTTTCTTCACAGTCCTCACCTGCTGTCCTCACATTTTACTTTATGTCACACTTTTTATCTTCCACTCAACTTTCTATTAATTTGCTTAGTTTTGGGTCGCTGTATTAGGGCTCAGAATACTGGGCTTGATGATGGCAGACTTTAAAATCAAATACTTTGAGATTGATCCTAAAATGTATTTTTGTGAGTATTCCACATAATTGTGTTCTATATGAATATTTCCATATTCATTTTTTTTTCATATGGAATTTTTAAGACCCTTAATTGTGTGTTTTCATTAGCTCAATCCCCAGAATTAACAGGAAAACACACCAATAACTTTCAACTCTGTGTGGAATGAAACCATACAATATATGAGTTTTACATTTTGGACTGGATAAAGAAAAAAATTGGATGATAATCTTATTTTTTGAAATATACGCTGGTCCACTGAGTAAGGTGAGCGGCTGATCTCAGTTGAACCGTGTGAAGCTCTGAGGTCAGTAATTATAGCAGAAATGAAATTGGCATGACAACAAACTGAAATGATGCCTTTGTGGAAAACAAAAGGATTATTGTTGCTTCTCTCAGGGGAATTATTAAACCAAGCTGCATGTGTTAGAATGAAAAAAAAAGGTCCACAAATACTTTGCAGTGTCATCTCCAGCTTGCTGTAAATTGTCCGCATTCTGTCACACAAAGGAAGAAATGGCGTTTCACATAAAACGGCTGTTTTTGTCAGACGGCTCGAGTTTTATGTAAAAATCACACGGCACTGGCAACTGTGTGAAATTTAAATCCCGCTGAAGGATGGTCAACACTGCAACTTTTTATTAGAAAGTCGGGAGAGGGAAAAAAATTACGGCGCCTTAAAGCTCTTCTATTGTTTTATCTGCACCAACTCCAGTTTTATACGTCTCATCCTTCTCTGGAAGGAAATAGCCCCGGTTCCTCTACGTCGTCCTTTTGTTTACGACTTTCCAAATTATTTCCCGAAGACTTGGTTAAATTCTACATCTGCGATGTCACCGGCATGAAAAGATGTTACGACGCTTCACATAGCGTGTTGATACGACGTCTTCCTGTCTTGTGTTCAGTCATGTGTGCGCAGGGATTACAGGCCAAGGATAAGACGGGATCCAGCGACCCATATGTCACGGTCCAGGTGGGGAAGACCAAACGCAGAACCAAGACCATCTTCGGCAACCTCAACCCCGTCTGGGATGAAAAGTTCCACTTGTGAGTGCTTTTTAATAACGCGACATTTCTTTGACCGGCTAATCCGACCCCCACCGGCGGGATTAGGAGTCTGTTTTTGTGAACCTGGAGTCATTCGCAAACAAGTTATTTCCTCTTTCATGATTAACCAGCAGAGCGATGCCGCATGCCAGCTGTGGTTTTAGAAATTCAGTTTGTTTTTTTTCGGGGGTTTTTTCCATTGATTTGCTGCTGCTGCTGCTGTGGGTTTATGTCTTTGGCGAGTAAAAATGTATCTCAGTAATCTTTTACTTTTAGATTGACTCCACACTGTAGTATTTCATTTCTGATAAATTTGATGATTATGACTTGCAGCTTTTGAAAACCAAACATGCAGTGCAGCGCTGTGGCCCCCGGGGGCTCCCCATGCGGTGGCCCTCCAAAGAGCATTAGTTTCTGATCGGGGGAACCCCACTTTGCCCAACCACAGACAATGTTCAATGTTAATATGTACACAAACATCAACTTCTAGAATGTTTTCCTTGAATTTTGTTCAATATTTAATAACTATTACATTTTCTTGTAGCGTGAATGCTGCCTCATACCTTCTGATTTCAGTCGGCCAGGCACTGTTAGGTGTTTTTTTTATCTTTTTACACCAGCAGGACAGTGAATCTGATAAATCTGACGGGCATCCAATCAGAAAGATGAGGATGGTAAATAACATTTAAATTCTGGTAAATATGGTAAATAATATTTAAGTTATTCTAATGCATATTTTATAGTAATGATTAAAAAACAGATTAGATTCTGTGCAAAAAAAACAAAGAAAAAATGTGATTTAAAAAATGATGAATTCCATTTTTTGCTCATTTCTTCCCTCCATCTTCCTGAGTTGCCCCTAGAACACTGCTGGAGCCCACACTGAAACAAAAAGATCCCTGACCAAGTATTAACGCAACATGTTTTTATTAAAAATGATATTAAAAATAATTTTATTTTATTTCTTATTTGATCATTTTCTCAGAAGCTGAAGATGGAATGTGAATCAATTGTTAGCAAGGATCATTTAAATGAACAGAAAACATAGTTTGAATGAAAATGACTTGAAAAATGGAGAAAATAAAAATCAATAATTTAGTTATTTATTTAGAAAAGCCTGCAGTAGACACAGAAGCATTATTACTTCCCGTCCATCATTTGTTTTGTGTTTTTACTTTTTCTCCCCATAGCAACCTGAATGTGTTGCTGGGTTCTAATTAACAACCGGTGTGCAAGTTTCTAGGAAACGACTTTGAAATTTCTCTTCATCCCCTAACAAGAGGCTTTGGCTTCACATCGAAAAAGGTTGCTATGGTTACCTTAGCGCATGCTGCTAATTATTATTATTATTATTATTTCTTTTCAGGAGCTTCTGAGTTAAATAATGTTTTCCTTAAAACTATTTCCAGTTTATTACCTAAATCATGAGCACAGCATCGATAGCTTCTCTCCTTTGGGCCTGTTCCAGCACTAATATTAACGCTTTAAAGCAAAGCAAAGCAGCATGGCTGGGTTGGTCTAGACAGGTGCAAGAAAACCGCAGGCGATGCCAAGGCTTTGTTTTGAATGTCTTCATTAGGACGTCGTTTGCTGCCATTTCTTTTTCTTTTCTTTTTTTTTTTCTTTTTAATTTAGCGTAACAATGAACTCTTTCCCACAATGAGCCTACCGGGTATTTATTTGTCTTACGAGACAGTGGAATTATTTCTCTTTTATCACAGGGGGCGACTTTAATATTAATTTAAAATTGATGCGAGGCTCCTCCACGTCTTCTCCTCATGCAGTTGGTCAGTAAAGCAGCATCTGTTACGACAAACAATTTTTGTATACCACGGAGATTTTCTGAATGTTTCGTGTTTGCAGGCTAGCCTCCTCGCATGTAAAAAAGACTCCTGTGGTGGCTCCAATAAAACGCTTTTCCTTTACTACAGGGATGCAGATTAATAGTGCGATACATTACTGTGTGCTTAGCAGAGACTCTGGCCCCAGTGCAGCAGCAGCAAGCAGCCTGTGCTTCTCCTAGAGAGAGATTAGTTAAAATAAACCCAGTGACAGTCAGAGGTGGGTAGACTACCCAGAAATTGTATTCAAAGCGAAATGTAGCCGTCTGAGAAATGACTCAAGTATCAAGTAAGAGTAAAGAAGTGTTTGGTGAAAAAGTCTATATTCAAGTGCTGAGTAACTGATGAAATTATCAATCATTTAACATTTAAAAATTACATCATGAGATGGAGCAAAACATAAAGTTAAGTGGAAAAGTTAGTATCTGTAAGGACAAAAATGACGACCATTCATATATGTAACAAAATCAGGCGAAACAAAAATTTTTCCAAATCAGTTTCTTTAAATAAGAAAAAACGTTTGAAACTTCAACATAAACTGCAGGTGTGTGTCTGTGTCTGGTCACGCTTGTCCCTTCATTCAGTGGGGAGAGAATCCAGAAATGTTACTGAAGTAAGAGTAGAGAAACTTCATAATGACGTTACTCAAGTAAAATTTAAACGTGCAGCGTAGTGAAAATAGTTCTAAAAGCAAATATAATTAAGTAAATGTAACTAGTTACTACCCACACCTGGTGACGTTCTCACACGGCACGTCATCGAAGAGAAATGCAATCTGTTGGTTTCAGTTCTGGAGCATCAGAGCCTGACTCTAACGTTTCAGTCTGAGTTAAGTTACAGAAAAACAAATAAGGACGAAAATTTGACAAGTGTTTTGCCAACACGTTCATGTCCCATTAGCATTTTAACATTTTGTTAGGATGCAGCCTTAACTGCAGTGTATTTCTTAGATAAATTGGCCTTAGCCAGTTGAGACCAGATTTGACTTTTTTTTTTTATTTGATTTTTTTTTACCTACACACAAAATGCTTTCCATGGCAGAAAACAGGCTCTTCATATCACCAGATCCTACAGTTATTCGCTGTATCTCTCTGGAGACGTGGTACATTTGGTTTGCAAAGCAGAACTGAAAAAAGAAACAAACCCCAAATAAACTGAGGATATTTTAAAAGTTGCACTACTTAAAACGTTATCAGTCAGTGTCTGAACCTAAACATGCGATTTAGCTTCGCTCTGTTGATTACCCCGGCCTGAAAAGCTTCGACTCTCAGTGGCGTGGCGTTTCGGTTGCTGTGATTGCGATTTAGCTAACCTGGTGAAATCGTCTTCTGACCCACAGCGAATGCCACAACGCTACCGACCGCATAAAGGTGCGCGTTTGGGATGAAGATGACGACATCAAGTCACGGGTGAAGCAACATTTCAAGCGCGAGTCAGACGACTTTCTGGGCCAGACCATCATCGAGGTTCGCACGCTCAGCGGAGAGATGGATGTTTGGTACAATCTGGGTATGCTGCCTTTTAATCTGACGAACACACGGCGTTCTGACGAACCGATTGCTTTTTGAGTTGTGTGTCATAGCTGACATTATGATGGCACGGTGTTTTCCCATTAGATGAAAAGTTCACAAACATCAGGAGACATGCTGTCCATTACAATTCTAAATACAGGATCTGAGGAAAAAATAGTGAGATGTTTTTTATTTAATAGAAAAAAAAACTAACAATACAAACTCAATTTGAAATTTTAAAATAAAGGACAGTAACCGTTACTCACTAGTGATGTGTTTTTCTTTCAAGCCAATTTTTGTCACGCTATGGCACATTTTTATATACATATACTTTTTTACAATTTCCTAGAAAACTGTAAAAATTAGAATATTATCAAAAAGTGATTCGGGGAGAAAAGTTAAAACCATGTGTAGATTCACATTTCACAGAATGAATTATTACAAGCTTTTATTTCTACGCTAAAACTCAATTTCTAGAAAGTCTTGAATTACTTGTGACCAATAAGAACATCATTTAATACAAAAATGTATTAAGAAATACATCTATTTTTTTGCATGACGTACACAGTTATGGGGAAAACCTACTGATATGAGGCTTGACAAGCAGACAGTCATTGATAAGTAAGGCTGTTTATAGGACGGCGTATGACAGCACGGAAAGTTGAGTGGAAGGAAAAAAAAGTAGAAAATGGTGCACAAGAACAGGGATAACTTGAGCCTTGAGGGGATTGTTGTAGAAAGAAAAATACATTAAAGATTTCAGGGGAAACTTACAAGTAAAAACTTTAAGACCCATTAATACACACACACACACAAGTGTAACTTTGAAATCCCAAGTGTTGATTCACTCCCGAGCTACTTTAGATCCAGTGAAAAGTTTCCAGTTTAGCGATTATTGGATTATACAGGAGCTTCCGCAACACCTCAGCAGAGCCACAGGCTGATGACCTCCATATGTACCACACCTCATTAGAGCAGCAATTCATGCAAAAGATCCAAGTAACGAGTTCATGGACTCTGCAGTGCATGCACGCCCTGTTCAGTGGGACAACTTGTCTGTTAGCAAAGCCGTTACTGTTCTGTTTGTCTTATGTGGTATTCTAAAGCTTAAAGAGGAGGAGCGCTTTACATCCGTCTGTGTGTGGCGAGCGCACGAGATCTGTCTGAATCGAGTCGGTAAAATAAATACGTGCTCCAGTGATATTGGGACGTATGGAGATGCTGCTGATCGCCGTTCGGGTGTCACACGGAAGCCTGTCACAATGATCAATAAATCAATTAATCGCATAAGTTAAAACAAATTCAATAATTTCCATCGGCATGATTTATCATTTACCTCTTTTTCTACCAAAAACTGGAGGATAAAAGTTTTCAGTTTGGTGTTTTGGTCCCAATTGGCTCCTTTTTTTTTTATTTGTGGAGGACACATTTGTTTACAAAGACTTCAAAATCCATTTTATTTGCTGTTTTGTTCATTTATTTTGGATATTTAAAATGTCTTCCAGACATAGAATTTAAAGTGTATTAATCTTTGAGAATATGTTCTCGCGTTATTATTACGCTATTACCGTTACATCGCTTAAAAATAAATGGTCTCAAAACAACAATATTATCGTTTATCGCAATAACGTCTGGAACAATATATCGCCCAACAGCATTTGTTACGCGACACATGCATGAGGTCAAACGCCATCATAATGAATTCTTCCACTTCCATTAAAGTCCAATGACTGGCGGCCGCCTCTCTTTGTTTGCCCCTCCAGCTAAAAGGAAGCAATTTGTGGCAGCAGTGGCCCCTGGCCGCCACCGCCGCTGAGCGCCTTTTTAAACGTTCACAGCGAATGTTTAAACAGGACGCTGCTGCTATCGGCGCCCTCCTTTCTGAGCCTCTTGAGCCCCTCTTCAATCTGGAGATTCAGTTTTTTTTTTTTTTGTTTTTGCATTTGAAGCTCTGTTCTCTGTCACTTTGTCGTGATATTATGTTTCACTTTCCTGACTCTTGACTAACTATCTCCAGAGGAAATTTGGCCCATTAGACAAGGAGAAGATCTGAGGGCTGTTTCAAGCCCCCGCAGTTGTGAGAACGTTGCGTGTTTAAGGTCTTCGTTTGTGTGTGTGTTTGTGTCGTTTGTGTGTGGGGGTTTTTCTCTACGCTTTCCGAAACACAAAGTGTTTGTAGATTTTAAAGCTGTGAAGCTGTGAGTAGAGATGTCTTTTATGGCTATCAGCTTGTGATGACACTATTTTTTTTTTTTCTAGCATGTTTAAGGACTTTTACATAGTGACATTGATAGATTTGGATTTTAATCTCTTAGTGGTTTATATATCTTGTTTTTCTATGTTGGCAAGGATGTTTTAACGTCACTTCTCCGACTGGAGACATTTGCTGGCCTGTTTTCCATATAAAACGTGGTTTTTACTGTAGGACTTTAGAGGATTCTTGTCTTGCTCTACCATCTCCAAGTTCACGAAAATGTAAAAAAGCTGTAAAAAGACGAACAGCTAAGTGGAAGCGCGTTTCAGAAAATTGTAAAATGCTGTCAGATGGGTGTCGGCCATTTTCCTTTCTCTTTTATTTTATACCCAATGTTTTTTTGTTGTTGTTGTTGTTTGTTATATTTCTGTTTCATGCAGGATGTTTTGCATTGAGCATTTGTCAAGCAGCACCTACGTTGGAAAAAAAAAAAACTATTCAGAGCCAATTATAATTTTCTACAATCAATTGTCTCCAATTAAGCTGCACCTTAAGGACCAATTGAGACTTTAGCAACAGTCTCAATTAGTAATAATTAAATCCTTATTTATTACCGAGGGCACCACTGCTGTTTTAAGTTCTACAAACATAATGACAAATAAAACATCTTACTTCTAAATCCACTGAGTCTGTTTCAATAAAACTTTTTCTTTTTTTTCTTCTTTTTTATAAATAATATCTTCCAGCAGCTCAATTAAATTGGTTTATTGCTTTAGAGTTAACAAGTCCCACAAACAGATCAGAACCAACACAAAGGGCAGTAGAGTGTTATGCAAAATATCCAGGACAACAAATCAAACACAGACACAGAAGTGGTGCTTGTGTTGCCGTCCCATTAGGGTTCTTTTTGTGAATTTTTCACTGGAACGTAGCTCTAAATTATTAATGGAAGATTTGCCTTTGTTTTTTTTTTTTTTGTCATGGAGCATATGAAAAATATATTTTTTTAAAATGCAGCTTAAGAAGAAGAAATACCCGAGTGCAGTGCTACTTGACATGTTATTGGCTGGTGCTTGCAAAGCAGTCGGCCATTTTCCTTGAAGCTGATTGGCTGTAGTGTCTCTCTGGTTGACATGAGGAAGACTTTAGATGATAGCTTGTCTCATAGCTATCATGAGACAAGACTGTTTCCACGTTGCATATTAATGCATATTAACGTATACTCGGTGGCGCGCTGCACCTCGGTGTGGTGGTAGAGCAGCCGCCACACATACAGAAACTAGTCGTCAACGCGGCCGTCCTGGGTTCAGTTCCCAACCTGGAGGCCTTCCAACTCGAGAGCATTTCCACTGACGTTCCCCGTCTTTCTCACGTGTGACAGATAAGAGGACCGACAAGTCTGCAGTGTCTGGTGCCATCAGACTCAAGATCAGTGTTGAAATGAAAGGGGAGGAGAACGTGGCGCCCCCTCATGGCCAGTACACGTGTCTACATGAGGTAAGTGGCAGAAGTGATTTTGTTTCTGCTAAATTTGAGCTCTTGCTCCGGTTCAGTCACTCTTGCTGGGCCTGGGCTGAGATGAGATCCCTGCAAAAACACAAGATTTGACCATTTATTTTTTATCTAGTTTCTAGTGTAAATATCTGAGTACACCTGAAGTGGACTGAAGTAAAATTTCAGTAAGATTTAGGAGATCGTTCTAAATTAATATTTCTGTAATGTTGTTTTAAACATTACTGGATCCACTGGAAGATATGTTCCCCTTACAATAAGACATTTTCCCCATAAGTGAAATGATCGACCAGTGGAATGAGCACTTTTTAAAAAAAAATATTGTGAAGGAGTTATTGACTTAAAACAAGCTAAAATAGCTTACTGAAAAGTTGTTTGCAAGTTAGTTTTGTTCTATTTCATGTTTACTGAGATATTTAACTAAAAATTAAACAAGAATAACTTTTCCAAGTAAGCTACATCTACATAATTAAACTGCTTTCTTTAAAATAAATATACCACAAACAACAACTATTGATATTGCTGCTGAAATAATATCTTTACTATTACAGTCTTGACAACATCTGATGCTTGTTTTTATTTTAATATTGACACACAGATATATTATGCAAAGACGTAGAAAGCACACCATCTAATTTACATAGTTTGTGATTTCTACCGGAAAATATTTCCAAATGGCAAAACTTACTTTCCTCATCTTTCTTGTAAATGAGGGAGAAGAACAGCAACCCTCTCTTCAGCCAGCTGACTGGCAGTGCGCATTAACATTTTGGTTGTTTTGAAATCGTAGCGTTGTAAAACCTCATCACCGGCCTAGCATTGAAAACTCTGTTGCAAAAAATTTCAAACCTTTTTTTCTCTTGTTGTTGTTTTTTCCTCAACAGAACCTGTTCCACTACCTGACTGAAGTGAAGAGCGGCGGCGTGGTGAAGATCCCGCAGGTGAAAGGGGACGACGCGTGGAAGGTCTACTTTGACGACGTGTCTCAGGAGATAGTGGACGAATTTGCCATGAGATATGGGGTGGAGTCCATCTATCAGGCTATGACGTTAGTACCTCCCTGATCTATGGCCTTTTACCTCGTCAATCCGTCATTGTCTCATCGGGCAGAGTGGAGGGGAGCGTGGGACGTTGGGAGGAGAGCTGAAGGAACAGAGGAGCTGTAAAGATGTCTCCTCAGCAGAATCGGAGCAGGGAGAGACAATCGAGCTCCTCCGTCCGTCTGATTGATTAGTTGTTGGTTAGTGGAGGAGGGGGAAAAACTTCAAACCAGCCCCTGGTCGCATCGATCACGGGAACCCGTTAACGGCCTCGTTTCCCCCTCTGGCTGTCTCTCTGATCAAGCGTTACCTTGGCCTTCCACAAATGTCGATTTACTTTTCTTTTTTTTTTTTTCTTCCATTCCCACACACAAACACAAAGAGACATGAAAAACTCTACTTTAAGAAATAAATTATGGCTAAGCTAACTATTGATCAATAGCTAACTATATTACATTACACTACATGTAATGATTTTGTTGAAGTAATGAGTTGATGCCGTCATACATGTACGTCATTTTCTAAATTTTTTTTTTTTGGGTGGGGGGAGGACTTGAATCACACTTTGAAAAGTTTGCCTCTGCCATCTGTAATGCGTCTTGACCATTTACTCATCTGTACCATTAAGTGTCTGATAAAATTAGTTAATTTAGAAGCAATCCTCTATTTTCAGACCACTGATCAGAACAGTACTGGAAGCTCCGTTTCCCTGGAGCTTTACGCTGCTCATTCAGCTGCATCACTGTGGCTACACATGTGGGTTTTTTTTCATTATTTGAAAGCTTAAAGGATGATTTAGGTCCTTCAAATTATGACAGTAAGTTGGCGTCAATATCCTCCATTGTGATGATTTGTTTTTTTAAAAGTTTCTGTTTCTTCTCTTAGTTTTGTTGAATCTTATAGTAGAAGTATTGCATTTTTTAGTTTACATCAAATTTCTTATTTAGTCAGAGCACTTGTATTCAAACCTCCTGAAAGTTGAAGTGGAAGACTTTAATTTACTTAATTTAGCTTTCAATCTAGTAAAATACGACCTAAATTGTTATTATAAGTCTTGTTACGTATGTGAATCAAAGTTTTTGTCACTTTAACACCTAAACTGTAGAGACCTGCAAGTTCAGGGTGCTAGTTTTAGCTAAATGCTAATGTGAATGTTTTCAAGCCAAAAAGATATTCATCTATAATGAAAATAGTTAACAACACAGCATGACTGGTTTGATTTAAATAGTTTAAAGTCAAAGTACATCCAGTTTCAGGAGTGTAACAGTAGATTTGTATGGAAAGCTAATCTTGTGACAGATTTCCTTTTTCATATATCACCTCCCTGTTACTTCTGTCACAAACTGCAGATTGAAATATACAGCTAAAAGTTTGAAAGTACACATCATGGAGCAAACTAATGCCAACAGTATATTTCTTAAAACGAAAAACATCTACAAGGAAGAAGCAACGAAAGAACAAAAATATGAATTTAAGACGTAAATGTGACGTAAGCCCTTCTATATAAAGTGTAAATGTCTCTTCCTCTCCTTTTAAGGCCTAAAATTATGATAATTTGTTTCTTTTATTGCTTTCTAGGACTTTGTGGGAATCCTGTTCAGAATAGTGTTCAATCCTTAGTGCAGGGACAGACATTTTGAACTTTGTTAGCAGCCTTTTTTTCTAGTTTTCTCCTGGTAAAAACACTTGGTAGGCAGTACCAGCCACTAACTTTGCAGTCAGTATTCATGAAACGTCTTGCTCTTATTTGGACTGCCATCAGAATTCATGTAATAAAAGTTTTTTAGAGCTAAAACTAAACAAATGAATGTTGGAAACATGGAGCACTTTTCTCACCTCAGGTTGACTAAAGATGTTGCATTAGCAGGTCTTTTAAAGCCTTGTGTACTTAACCATGTTTCAGAGTTTTATTACCCATTTCCCATTAGACCCTGAGCATATTTGATTCTCCTCACAGCAGCTCCTTTATCAATTGGCCTGCTTTCCCTGTAGGGCCATCATGTCATTGGCTTTCCTGTTAGCTCTGCAAAGCTGCTTTTAACAATCTCTAATCCGTCTCAATAAAAACAAAAACAACAACAAAAAACATCTCTCATTAATAGCCACAAGAAATGAGAGCAGCTGCTGCAGCATTACAAATAATAAGTAATCCGATATCACTAAACAGAATAATCACTGTTTTGGTAGAATTTCTGTTTCATTTCCCACAATAAGAGTGGAAAAGTTTGCAAAAGTAACGTAAAAATGTTCTTAAACTCTTAAATGAATGTGTCTAAAAGTTACCAAAGTAATCCTAATTCCACATGTAATAATGAATAACAGATTTTTTTTCTAAACTTAAGTATATTCTAACCGCCTGCAGAAAATAAACTGTCAAGTACATCAGTAAGCTTTACTTACATAGCACCTTTTAAAGGTCAGAAACCACAAAGTGTTTTACAAAATATAAAAAGGAGAGATAAAATGGTGTACATGTGACATAAAACAAAAATAAAGCTAATTAATAGGCAGTCTAAAGAAATGTGATTTTTAAAAGTTAAAATTCAACATAAATGGCCGCAGCAGCCGGAGGCATCCCATTTCTGTCGGTCCATGAATGCATCAGAATTCAACAGGACAATATCCACAAACAAGCAGCATCTACATTCCCACTAATGATTAATCTCAGGAATCCTCCAATCTTAATCAGATACAAAACTCATACGGTGTCATCAAAACCAAGAAACGCAGAGAACACGAAGAACCTGGTGATACCTGTTCACAGCTGGCAGAACTTGGTCGGCTCCTTAAGTCACAGAAAATGTCCATCTTGAAGCATTTTAATGTTTTTTTTTTTACAGTAAATACTTTACTTTGTTCATAAAACACAGTTTTTTCCAACACCTTTATTATTTTCTATCGCTTAGAAACAGATTTGCACATTTTTTCCCCTCACATCATGATGTAGAACAGGATGCTTAGTGTTCCCAGAGGATTTGCGTGTATAGAAATCGAAGCCAATATAATAATTGATGGTTTAATCATGTTTTTAAAATTCACTGCTTCGCTTTTCAACACAAACATACATCATCTCCTTTGCTGCTTCGGTACGGTGTGCAGTTTTTTTTTTTTTTTTTTTTTTTTGAGCAGGAGGAGTTGTTTCGGGTTTGGCGTTCGACGCATGCTGGACTGTTTTGTTTCTCTTGCGTAAAGAGAAGTGAGGGGATGGGGCGGGGTGGAGGGGCTTTTTACCGGCTCCATCGGGTGGAGTTAATGCTCCGGGCCAGAAACTTGTTCAGAATCGCTGCTCCTTCTCTGGAGCGTTTATTACGCTTCGCCGGGAATGCGTGATCGCCCTCACCGTTACAATTTCTGCTTTCATCAAAAAGCCTCGACTCCCAGTCGCTCCTAACATGACGGCCGCATAAATCAGAGCAGCTGTGAGGAGTTGCTCTCTCTCTCTCCCCCCACCCACACACCCACTCATAAGAACTGCAAGCGCGCACTCCTTCATTATCCCTCATCTCTCTCCATCACTGCTCCCCACCAGCTGCCCTCACCTCCCAACCCTCACTCCTCATTTCATAATATCTTTTTCTCATTTCTCTCCCCCTGACCTCCTGCCGTCGGAAACCCTAATATCCCGCGCGAAGGCGTTCTCATTGGCCGCTGAAGACCGTAGCAGGGAAGCCACCGGGTTACACAATGCGACCCGTCTCGAAAATTGGCTCAGGAAATCCAGCTCTAAAAGCATCATGGGAATTCGGCGGATGCCATCATCACTCTCCCTGCATCACTCTCTTAGCTCGCCTTACTCCAAGTGCTGCTGGGTAATTTGGAGGCTGAAAGCAGAGTAATTAAATAGGCCTTCCAATGAGAACATATTTGTGTTTGCGTGTGTGTGTGTGGGTGGGTGTGTGTGTGGGTGGGTGTGTGTGCATGGACTGCACTCAGAAAAGGGAAGGGAATCTATAATCGTTACCCCACATAACTCATGAGGCAATGACTCACTGTGTGCGAGATATTCTTGGTTTTGAAACCTGTTTTTATTTTCCCGTCCGGCACCCGGCTTCGCAGCGCCGCTTTAAAATATTTATAGAGAAATGTACTACAACCGTCATCGGGTGTTGTGTAAAAAAGATTCTCTTTCGTGCGATGAGTAAACGTGAGCCTCAAAATAAACTTTGCTCAGCCTTCGGTTTTCTGCATTCAGTGTCTCAAACATTCAGGTGTTTGGTTGCTGCGGGTCATGCCGGAGGCTCGTGAGACGCCTCGGATGTGTGTTGTTTACTTAAACTATAAAGAAACTATTATCTCTGCATTTTCTGGTGCAGGGTGTTATCTGTAATGATTAGACTGGATTTCCTCTGTCAGGATTCATGAATGTGACTTAAACAGGCGTTTCACGTGGCTTGTAAAGCAGCACGATTGTTTGGAGTTGTTCAGAGGAATCTGTTCTCTTCACTCTTTAATGTGCACTTATCTGTTAAAGCAAGAAATGTGCTAGGTCGGAGTTTTTGCACAATTAGCGTGGTTCTCAATGCTAGCCGTAAACACCGGTTTATACCCTTTGAAAATGTAGACTGTTACTGCAACTGTGAGATTTTCAAAATGCTGAAAACTTTTCAAACTATCGTGTTTCATGAAAGAAAGAGGTTGGAAAGTTCAGATGGATAAAGCAGAAAACCTTTGCCATGGAGCATCCAGCCTTCCTGTTATCTCCTGAACCCACATAGTTTTTGTTATGGGGGGAACCCAAAAAGAGACAAAACCCACTCTGAGATGCCTCTGGTTTTCCATAATTTTACAATCAAGCCGACGACGTGCATGTTCACATCAACTTTCAAAAATCAGGCTGGCACAGCCACATTTCATAGTTGAGTGTACCGATTGCAGACATTTCTTAAGACAGATTCCTTCATTTCCCACAATCCAAGTGGATACTCTTCAGCTTGGTGAACAAGTCGGGTGCCTACCCCCATTTTTTTTCTCCACCTGCAGCCGCCATACGCCTGTTAGTGCAGCACAAAGTTACAGTCTGGCTGATGCACGTCCTCGCCGCTGGCTCAACCTCATCATCGTCTTGGTGTCGCACACAAAACAGTCTGATGTGAACACCATTTCCCGTTGAGCTGTTTATTATTGGAACACCAAGTACGCGGTCGTAAAACTTTACCTTTGGCCAGACAGTAAGTCTGCATTGAGCAAATGCAGACCTCTGCGGACTGAAGTACTCCTGAGTGTCTTGGTGGCCTTAAGAGTGGCTGATATATAAAGAGTTGCACATAGTTTGTGCGTTGGACACCTCACTTTCTAAAGGGTTTTATTTTCTGTTTAGTTCCTACTCTCAAACGTCACCGCTAATGAAAAAAAAACTCCATAGATTGTGTCTAGTGATGTGCCTGTATACCATCGTAGTAGCAAAAAATGATTTTTGTCCAGTATGCTTAGTGCAGAGGTGTTTTCTGCGTGTTTTCACCTCAAATCTGTCTATAATCAATACATCACGCAGTCAAGCTTCAGCGCCAGTTCACTCCTGCACAATCCAGCTGATATGGGGCTTTGACTTCCTCTCTCAACAAGTCAGAGGCCTGTCGATAGAAAGTTAATTTCGAACACGCTTCCCACCTTTGCCGTTTCACCCAACGCACATAAAAACCAAAACGTAGCGGTCTAAACTACCTGTTATCCTGTCTTTTAATTAGCTTCTCCATTAACCTGGGTTCGTTTTGAAGAGCCAGAGAGCGTCAACGTTAGCGCATCCCGTTAACGCTAGCGGGCACACCAGTCCTGGCTGGTCAGGATGAAAATTTCCCACTCATCTCACTGAATATCTCTTGCTAAAACATTTTAGCTTCAGGAATCCACGTCTTGGTAGAAATCTCTGACAGGTTACTTTGAGAAACATAGCGGCGATAATTGGTTGAAAAGTGCTAATTACAGCTTTTGGAGTTGCTCTAATTCTTCAAAAGACGCCTCAGTCCACTTGCACAAAAACAGCCTTGAGTCCTCCCAGCCAGTCCCAAAAATAAAATAAAAACCGTTTAGAAGGTGTTGACTTCCAGAGAAAACCTTAAATCCCTCCCTTAGACAGCTGAACTCTCTTCACACCTTGACATCCTACTCTGACAGCTCACATATGACCTTGATGGGCTAATGACCCCACAAGAGGTTTAATGCTCAGGGCTCCCTTTTGCTATCAGTTACAATAAAAAAAGAAGAAAGACAAAGGCCTCTTGAATGGGAAAAAAGATTTGTCTTCAGTGAACTCGAGTGTGTCCGGTTTGCTTTGTTTAGCTCTCAGGTTGACTGATTATCTGCACAGCGATACAATTCTTCCCCGTACAGTGGGAGGTCTGAATGTCTCCGAGTTAAAAAGCAGCCGACACGGAAGAAAGATTAAGCGTTTGAATGATAAAACCTCTTTCAAGATGCATCACTGTGTGAATGTCTACATTAATACAAAGAAAAGGAAACTTTTTTTTTTTTTTTTTAGCCTTCAGCCCTCTTGGTGTTTTGGTTCATGCATTATGCAGCCCCCTCATGTCGTTACCAGTATTTGACAACATCTCTGATTAATGATATGATTTGTTTTGGCCACTGAAGAGACTTTTTTGGACTCCTAGCATTCCACTTCTTCTGGCAAAGTTAATTTTTCAGAACATTAACATGAATCCTGTGACAGTCGGCGGTCTGAAGGTGAAAATACAGCGCTCCAGGATTATTAAGCAATGCGTCTTGTTTCTCTGCCTTGAACATTTTCATGCATTATGAGGCTGTGACATTATATTTTAGAAATAATAATAATAATAATAATAATAACAAAAAACTCCCACAGATATTTAAAGGTATATGATGGTTTTTCGATGCAGATGTATATAGCATCTAATCAATGCTTTCTAGAACAAGGTTTTGCTCTAATTATTGCTGCAAGTACTCTGAGAAAGATTGGAGTTAGGTCTGGACTTTGACTGGGCCAATCTAAAACATAAATATGTTTCGATTTCATTTCATTAGGCGATAGAATCAACAAGAGTGATTTAACAGCGTACGATAATCCTCCGAATTGAAAACCTCGCTTCCCCCTACGTACCTGCCAATATGACTCGACGCCGATGGCATTCATTGAAACGTTGAAAGGGCTTCATGAGATGAGGATGACTCTCTCAAGGCGCTCTGCGTGCGTCTTCCTGTCCGGTATTTCTGCACGTGGTTGTCGTCTATTTCTTGGCAGCCAAAGGATAAAAGCGTTTCTCTTCGACTCTCTGAGACTCTTACAGTAAGCTGATGGCTGTTTGTTCTCCTCTGCAGGCATTTCTCCTGTCTGTCTGCCAAGTACATGTGTCCCGGCGTGCCCGCCGTGATGAGCAACCTGCTCGCCAACATCAACGCCTACTTCGCTCACACGACCACCACCACCACCACCACCGCCTCCGCGTCTGACCGCTTTGCCGCCTCCAACTTTGGGGTGAGTGTTTTTTTTTTTTTTTCTGCCACTGAATTGTCAGTTGTCTTATTTTTTTTTAACAAACTTGTTAAACTTTCTGGTCTTTTTCTGACACCTTTGTATTCCTGTGCTAGTTTACATTCAACGTTCTTAAAGGAATTTATACTCCTTCAAATCAAAACTATTTGGCACGCCTCCCAAAGTCATTCATTCAAACTTTTTAATAAGCTAATGTTGCAAGACCCCAAATAATATTTTCGGGCTCCGAGCCGAGTCTGGCAGCATCGCTAAACAACTTCATTTTACTCCAAGAAGTAAGAATGAATCACTGCAGACAGGCAATACCACAGACCAGGCGGTGTTATAATTTTTTTTTTTGGCATGGAGCTTTGGGTGGAAACTGAATTATTCAATTCTGATCCCAACAGAGGGAAAAATTCGTCAAATTGCTGGACCAGCTGCATAACTCTCTGAGGATCGACCTTTCGAAATACCGGGTATGTAAGAATTTTTTTTCTTAAAAATAAAAGTATTGGTGTTTACGTGTCTGTGCAATGAGATTTTATAAAAAGAATTTATCGAAAAATTGTGAGATTTTTGATATTTTCAACATTTAAACCTTGAAAAATGACAAGCGCCTGCTGCGTATTTCTATTATATCCAACTGTTCATTCAATGCAGCCCTTTGCGAACGTATTCATGTCCATTTATGTTTTTATTTGTTTTCCCACATCTTGTCTTAAAACTGTGCTGTGTTTGTATGTATTCACCCTCCTGCGTTGTTACTGTGTGGAGCCGCTGCAGTCACAGCAGAAAGTCTTTGTCTGCGTCAGATTTGCAGAGATGTTTGCGTTTTATGCAGAATTGCTCCAAATCAGATCAGATTAGAGAAGATTTGCAAACATCCATTTTAAAGTCTAAACATTATTATCCTCTGCTATGATTAAATAGACTTTCTCTGGTTGTTGATTGGTTTTGTTCTGCTGGAGGGTGAACTTCATCCACAACATCTTTTGATATTCAGCTCCATCCATCTGATCAGCTTCCTCATCCCCACAGCACAATACTGCCACCACCGTGTTTTCCTCTGGCGATGACACACAGTAATTTACAGATTTAGTTTTCCTCCGTATGTTACTAAAATGTATCCGGACTACCATCCTATACCTACTTTTTTTTTCTTCTTTTTTTTAAAATAAAATGCATAAAAAACGTCTGGTTGCTATTCAATAAATATAACTCATAATTAAATCGCCATCTGATATGCAATCCGACACAACCCGTTTAGTAACAAACTCCCAAGACTTTGCCATAGATGCCGCTTTTTCACATCCGCTCATGTTTTAAATAATAATAGAAAAATGCAATAAAACAGTAAAATCTATTCCTAAAAATAAAAACTATATGCCGTTTTATATCCACACCACTGTTAGATGTAACCTTTAAAAGGATCTATCGCGGTAAAGCTCAATAAAAGAGAATAAAATATGTGGCTACGTTGGGAGTAAATGTAAAAACGCCCAAGAGGTGTAAGTGCTTGAATGTGCTGCCTTTGTTTTTTTTTTTTGTTTTTTTTTTTTTTTTTTTATCTGCTGAGAAAAGTGGAATCTGTATGTTTACATTACAATATATATATATATATATATATATATATATATATATATATATATAATATATATATATATATATATATATATATACATATATTTTTTATTTGTTGCGCTAAAATATGACGTGTAAGACAGCAGCACACGTTGGTAGTGCCGGTGCATGATCGTTGCTAGTTATGGCTCGTCTGCAGAAGCAGAAGGTGTGAGAAACGCGGCGGATAAAGGTTGTTGTTTCAGATTAAAAATTCAAATTGAGATGAATTGCTCCGCAAATGCCTCCGCAGACCCACCGGATGCCGTAAAGCAAACGACATCCGCTGAAGTGTAATTTGAAATATTTATGTCGCTGCAATGCTGATAAAAAAAAACAAAAAAAAGAAGGAGATTTTGCAACTACAGTGTGGTGGTGAGAGGCAGTCATGTTTCCCTCCCAGCCATAGGGGCTCTTCTGTTTGTGGTTGAGCTGCAGTGTCATCATCATCATCATCACACCGTGCAGGAGCCGTAAACAGGAGCTGCTGCTGCTGCGAAGTTGGAAACTTTAACGTCCTGCAGCGGCGAAGCAGCTCTTCCAGTGGGAATCGCCCGCCGGTGATTATCTCAAGAATATTTACCAGAGCAACATATCACAAAGCAGCTCGCCGTGTGTGTGTGTGTGTGTGTGTTACGTGACACCTGAAGTTAATCCAGTGCAATAACAAATCTTTATTGGAGATAACAGCTTTTATTGAACGGGTTATCTGAAAACAGAGATGTATTGATCCACGCCTGCAAAATTATTCATTTGAAAGTCTGTGGTGGCATTTTCGAGGCCGCCTGTGCTGCGTTGTAGGGAAACGCGCGTGACCTCACGCTCACACCGACTGACTGGGAGAAATATCGTCACTTTATAAGGTGTCGTAAAATGTCGTCGCCCAGCGGGGGACACTCTCACTTGTTAGCCCATATACGGGATGACACCGGTTCATTTGTCATGGCCATTACTTCAGTGATTGCTGCTGAGTGATAAGCCTCAGGGAGCACCTCTCTGCGCTTAATTATGGCGCTTTATATAGGATTTTCTGGTTGACTTGTTGCAGAAATGGCACAAATGTGTTTGATTTAACCTGCTGTCACCTTCATGTATTAATATGATGAATGCTCAGGCTGCGCGGCGCTGCCGCCGCCCCTCGCATGACATGCAGCCTTTATTTTTTATCATCTTGTTCGACCGCGGATAAGATCCATCGGCTGAGGTTAAACGGCGGCGGGATGTTTTATGCAAACAGGATTCCAGAGCAGCCAAGTCTTTATGATGTAAGAGGTGAGAGGAAGTTCATCGTTTTGAACTTTGGAAGTTTTACTTTAGGAGAGTTATGGAGAATCTGAGGATTTTTTTTTTTTTTTTTTTTTTTTTACACTTGTGTAAAACTAATATTCACGTAACCGAGAAAGTTTTTTTATTGCAGAGACTCGACGCTGTAAATCGCTGTTGAATATGTGCAATTTTTTTTTCCCATTTCTATAATAAATCACTTCATTTTTAACAGCAAACTCAGGCATTTACTATATATGAGTCCATAAATTATAAACAAAGGTTTTCTTGATAAAGAATGAATTAAAGATTTATTGTGCCACCTCCAGAATGAGATCATTAACAGAAAATTGAAGCTCCTGTTATGTGGAGTTTGCGGATGTATAATTTGTCCATAATCTTTATCCTTCTTTTAGACATTAGGTAAAACTGGAGTTAAGCAAAAATCAGACTAATTATGGTTATAAATCTACCCGCAAAAAGTAAAAAAAAAAACTTTTCAATTTTGGACTTCATTAATATTATGAGACAATCAGAAGTAAAGTAAGTAGAATATTGTAGATATCAAATAACTTATCAAATTAGTCGCTGATTGGTTTTCCATGACATAAACATTTGGGCTTAAAGAGACAGTAATCATTTTGTAGATACACATCTGACTTCAACAACTTTAATGACTAAATCTGACATATTGTTTCTCTTATTTCTGTGAGATTTAGCAAGTAGAAATAACTTTGGTAATCCTTCCCAGCCGAATACAAGTTTGTACTGACTTAACTTCAAACAGTGAGAAGGAGAAAAGGCGCATTTGTCTCTTCATTCAGGAGACAGAGAGAAAAAGAGAAAGAGAGATTAATCGCACTCTAGCGCTGTGATTAATCACAATTAATCACTACGCCTAACTTTGTAAGCTTGAAATGTAGAAAAATGCACATAAAAAAAAAGAGCTTAAAGCCTTACATCTTAGTTTCCCAAACTTTCACCCTCAGGAAGGTTTAAAGAAGCAATTTTGCTTCAAACTTAATTTAGAAATGTTGAGCTTCACCGGAAGGATATTTCATCATCATAACAAGTCAGCTACGAACTACCTTGATTTTATCCAAACATCTATCACAAGTGAAATTTACCTCTGAGTACATCAGTCTGACTCTCCTTACTCCTCTTTTCACACCCATTTTAAACTCTGCATTGTTGACCGCAGTACAAGACCGTGTAATGTGCTTCTGTGAACTAGCTAACTAGTGTTAGCTAGTCTCTCTAGCTAGTTAACCCTTGTCTCTGTAGCTAGCTTACCTTGGGGTTAGCTAGAGAGGTTTTTAAGTCAAAATAAGTAAACGGTAACACATTTATCATTGACAGCCCTGTCTGCTCATGACAATTAATGTAAAGAATTGATGTAAAGAACTTCATTTTCCAGAATAATCCCTAAAGAGTTAATCCTGTTAGACAGCCAAACCCGTCCCGTATTCCTCACACGCTGTTTTATATATACACACACCGTCTGAATTCATCTCCTGCTCATTCATTTGTTGTTGTGAAGAGCAGATATTTCAGTATGCGGGCACAATCCAGCGCACACTGTGTGCACAGCGTTGTGCATGTTCCCCCGCTGACAGCATGACAGCGTGACAGTAAGCTGAAGCTGAAGGATGACCCATTCACCTTTAACGTGGCACAAAAAGCAACACGTTGTCGACTCGGGGGTTTTGGGGGGGGTGCGGGGGGGGGGGGCCGGGCATCGCTTTTGTTCCTCTGTGTTGCGCAACAGTGTGAAGTCCCCAGTGATTACAGAGCAGCAGGTACGACTGAAGGAAGACGTTTTTCCCGAGGTGGGCTGAAGTCATCAATAGACTAAGAGGATTTGGCAACGGAGGTGGATCTGAAATGGATGAAGAAGAAAAAACAAAAAGTGTGGAAGGATGACAGGGAAGGAGAAGGGGGTGAAGTGAAGGAGAGAAGGCCCCTGCTATCGTCACACGGCCCCGGCTGTCTGCCTGCGAGAGAAAAGCCTCGGCATATCACGTTGCGTTCACCTGCCAGCCCTGCCCTGCTGCTCTCTTGTCAACGTCGCCACAGACCAGCGGTTCACGCACACCCGCCAATCCACAAGGCATTCCGTTTTTTTTTGTTGTTTTTTTTCCGTGGCGTCCCGCAGAGCCGACCTGCCATTATTCCTCCGTAATAAGATTCAGATCTGGCTGCTCCGCTCACTCACCATATGGATTTCCCTATAATGTCATTCTGAGGGAGATTGAGTTTGCTTTTGTAAAACAGAGGGGCTTGAATCAGCAGAGAGAGGGAGCCGGGAGTGCAGCTGTCGCTCCACACTTTACCATATATGCATTTTTTTTCCCTCCTCCTCCTCCTCCTTCAGCTTTGCTCCCGACGGCGCTGATGCATGGTGACACCTTGTATAGCAAATCTCTGCTAGCTGGGATTTTGCAAGTCTCACTCTGGGTAGAGCATTAAATCGCTGGGTGTGTGTGTGGGGTGGGGGTGGATTCACGAAGCAGCGTGGTCTTTGCCAAGTTTTTTTTTTTTTTTTTTTGGGTTTTCCACGAGCCGTTTGTTTATTTACGCACTTGGAAGCAGA